GACAAACACAGCAGGTGGAAGCAGGGCCATGGATAAGGGGGTACCACCGGTCCTCCTGTATGGGGCCCAGGCAGGTGAATCCGATGTGGGGTGATCCACATGGGGGGGGGTAATTACTGGAACTAATCCCCTGTATGGCTCTCTGCAGAAATTGAAAGCTGGCTTCTTCTCCCTCCTGCTGGCTTTCGGCTGCTGTAGAGAGCCAAACAGTGGATCAGTTCAAGTAATTGCCCCCTTCCTTGCAACACCCATCACCGTCCATGTGCACCATACTATTCCCCCTGCTACCCAGGCCCCCCTGTCCCCCCACCCCTGCACTGCTGCCAGCTTCCCTCCTATAGTTCCCACTGGCAGTTGCAAGCACACAATAGGATCCTTCAGGATGGAGAGTGGGGTAAGGGTCTGGTAAATAAGTCACATTTACCAGCCCCTTTCTATCCTGAATGAACACAATAAGTGACTGGTACCGACCACTCACTGTGTTCATTCATAAGTGAAGCATAGAAAACTGCGGGGGGGGCGGGTTTGGGGGGGGGGCTGTCAAGTTGGCTGTATGGGGCCCTGCGGTTTCTAACAGCAGCCCTGGGTGGAAGGAACCTGATTGCAGCTATCCCCTAGTCCCCACCAAAAGCCCCTGCCCTGGTTGAGTCTGTCACATTTCTCCCCCTCAAAAGTAGATTTAACAGGTCCCAGACCTCCACCTGGTCTGGGTATGCATTAGTCGGGCAAAGTAAACCTACATACTCGTTCCCCGTGATCTCCATTCTTGGCCGCAGGGAAGACTTGTCATCGACTGGTGTGGGGCAGTGATTGTGGACCGTCTGTCTGCCTGCCAGCTCTTCATCTGGAAAATCTTTACCTTTCCAGGGCTCAGTCTGCTGCTGTGGAGTGGGGCTTATTGTTCCAACTCCCTCCACGGTAGGTGCTGGACAGGGGCCAGTGGTGCTCTGCCCTGTTGCTAGTGGCGCTCTGCCCTGTTTCCAGCGCTGCAGCTGGGGAACCCATATCCTCTGCTCTGGCTGACTTTTGGAGAGGGAGGACAACCACCTCCTCTCCTGGATTGTGGACTTGGTGCTGGGGTGGGAGGACGGCCACCTCCTCTTCCAGACTGTGGATCTGCCACTAGGGAAGGAGGATGATCACCTCCTCTCCTGGACTGTGGAACTGCAGCTGGGGAGGGAGGACGACTATCTTCCCTCCCAGGTCCTTGAGCTGCTGCTGGGGAGAGGAGCCGGCTGCTCTGTCTCCCATACCCTCTTGCTAGGAAGAGAAAGCAGTTTGTGACTGGTGACTGTTGGGGAGGGAGGATGAGCACCTCCTCTCCTAGACTTTGGAACTACCACAGGGGAAGGAGGATGACCACGTCCTCTCCCACCCTGTGGAGCTGCCACTGGGAAGATGAGCCAGCAGCTCCATCTCCTGGACTACCGAACACATGAATGGTAGGGGCATTCTTCAGGCTGGTCACCCACCGTGCCTCACAATGCACTGCGCCCTGACAGTGTATTGTGATTGGCCAAATCATTGCAACTGACCCTAGGTCAGGTACAATGCTTTGGCCAATCACAGCGCATGATGACGGCACAAAACGGCGAGGGTGTCCCCGCCCCCTTGTGATATCATCACAGTATTTAAGAACTGTCACCCAGGTTCAGCTGTTAGATGGCAGGAGTCATCAGGGGGAGCCAGTGTCGAGAGCTGCACTTTTTTTTTTTTTTTTTTTTTTTAGGTCCACGTGGCGGCGGGCATTGTTATTGACGTTGGAACTACTTCTGGGGGACTTTTTTATTTTTGTTTTTAGTGAAGGAATTGTCAAGGACTGTCTACTCTAATTTTTTACACTACACTTTTTTTTGCTAAATGAGTAGTGGTACCATGTACCCCATACTCATTCACATGGGGAAGCCGGGATCTGGGGGCCCCCTAGTTAAAGAGGGCTTCCAGATTCCGATAGCCCCCACCTTCACACACACCATGGTCATGGTTGTGGGGAAGAGGCCCTTGTCCCCATCCCCATGGGGACAAGGTGCTTTGGGGGGAGCCCCCCTGCCCCAAAGCACCCCCCCATGCTGAGGGCATGTGGCCTGGTATGGTTCAGGAGGGGGGCGCTCGCCACCCCCCTTTCCTGACCTGCCAGGCTGTATGCTCAGATAAGGGTCTTGTATGAATTTTGGCTGGGACCCCACGCCGTTTTTTTTTTTAAATATATGGATTGGGGGGACCCCACGTGTGGTCTTTTTATGTTTAAAATGCCAGCAGATTGTTTTTACATTCAGCTGTCAGCGGGGAACCCTGCTTATAGCTGAAACATTAAAGAATGTTTTTAGTAGCTGCACGGTATCTTACCACAATACTCAGATGCGGCAAGATATTGCTTAGTGAATTGTTCCCTCTGTTCGAATTTCACGGTCAAACTTTAGTTATGTTCGAATGTTTGACCGCGAACTGAACAGGGGGGTCGTCAGCCCATCACTAATACACAGTTCGCTTCTGCTGGGACTGTGTATGGGCAGAGACTGGCAGTACTGTTGGTGCTGGGCCAAGGTCAGTGGTGTTCTGCCCTGATGCCAGCTCTTCCTCTTGAAAGTAAAATGAAAATTCAGTGGCCTCGCACAAATCCTCCAGAGCCACCAACTGTGGTAGGTAGAGGTCAGCGGCGCTCTGACGTGATGCCAGCTCTTCTGCTGGAGGCACACTGGGTTGTTCCTCCTCAGCAAAAAAGTCTATTAAATCCCCGGTCTCTGGAATTGCTGAAAATCCAGGGCACAGGTTGTCAGCACTTGGGCCCAGTGCCAGCGCTTTAATGGGTGACTCATAATCCATGACATCCATGGGTGCTGGGGCATACTGTTGAGCTTCGTTGCACAGTCTTTTATAAGCTTGTTCAAGATCCCATTCCTGTGTAACTATAAAGTCTAAGTCACTGCTCAATCTGAGCTCACTGGGAAGTTCTAACTCCCTAAAATCTTGAATGTCCTCCCATCTCCACTCTGTTGCACTATCAAAAAATATGGATCCTCCTGAAGTGTCTCAAATATCAATCCCGGGCCACCAAAATCAGCCTTCTATGGGATCGCTGTTCTTCAACCTCAGGCACACTTGGGTAGCAAACCATTGCAGTGCCTGTGTCAGGAATGGACTGGCCAGCAATAGTGGGACTCAGTTGCCTTATGAGCTGCAGTACCAGGGCTGGCCAGCGGGTGCTCCCAGCAATCAGAGACTCAACCTTGCAGCCAGTCAAACACCTGGAACTAATTATACTGGTGTATTTAAGGGACATTCAGACCTGCAAACTCTGCCTTGGTGTTGTGTTTCTCTTGGGCCCTGTATCCTGTTCCTGCTCTCTGTTCCTGTCTGATTCTCTGCTGACCCTGCTCTGATCCCTGGCTTGTCTGACCATTCTCCTCTGCCTGACCCTCTGTACCACGCTGCCCGCTACCTGCTGAACCTGGACTGTGACCCCGACCATTCTCCGCTTGCTCCCCCTGTACCTACCTGCCCGACTGATATTGACCCGGCCTGCCTGACGACGCTTGCATTGTATGTACTGTTATCTGTGGGTGGTTGGTTGGTTTGTTTGCACTGTGTTATGTTTTAGTATTGCACTGCGTTTATGTTTGTATTGTTAGTGTTAATAAATTACATTGTTTATAACATATCTGAAGCCTGCGTTTCCCTGCGTCAGTCACACACCTCTGGTCATACCCGGGAGCCCTGACATTACACCAAGGCCAATCCTGACCAGAAGTCGCTGCACAGGGAAGCCATCTTGGTTTGTTGATGAGAAGGATGGATCTTGATGAGGTTATGTATTTATATCTGCTAGTGTTTGATGACAGGGAGTATGCTTATCAAACTCTGAAGGAGTATACCCGGGATGAACTGCTAGAATGTATACGGCTCGCTCATGTTCTAGTAGATCAGGGCACAGAATTCTCTGAGGTGCAGCCATTGATTCAGGTTTGTGCTGAGTTGGTTTCATCTGGTACCCCCGAATGCAGGGATGAATTTTTGCCACCATTAGTGCAGACCGGGTAGAGTCCCTGGTGTGGTTATTAGAGGATGATGTGGGTTACTTTCTGGAGCGTTATTCCACATGTTCACCACAGACACTAAGAGATTGTATAAACGCAGTGCAGTCATTGACCAGACAGGCTTTGTGTAAGCTCAGCTTTGTTCAACCCATACTGCAGACATGGTCAGACTTGTTGCACCCAGCCTCAGTCAGCTTACAAAACTCAGTCCTGCTTCTAATCTATTTTCCTCAAAGCTCTATTCCTGCATTCCCAACAGCTCCTCCTGCCCTGCTATCTACCGCATGTCAGTACCCTGTTCCCACTCGCTGCACCTATCCTGCCTTTAACCCTGTAAAAAAAGCCCTCTGTAGCAACTGCTCCCTCTCCTGTTCCATCCTCCAGTTCTTCTCTGTCTCCAGCTGCTCCATTCGTTTGCAGACCTGTGTTTACTTGCAGTGCTCCAGTAGTTAAAACCAGAAAAAAGCGAAAATTCTTTCCAACCAATACCATCCTGCCAGTATCCAAACCGGTGAACCTGCCTTCCGTGGTTCAGCCTGAAGCCTCTACTCAGCCTGAATCCTCTACTCAGCCTGATGCCTCTACTCAGCCTGAAGCCTCTACTCAGCCTGAAGCCTCTACTCAGCCTGATGCCTGTACGCAGCCTGATGCCTCTACTCGGCCTGATGCCTGTACGCAGCCTGATGCCTCTCTTCAGCCTGAAGCCTCTACTCGGCCTGAAGCCTCTACTCGGCCTGAAGCCTCTATTCGGTCTGATGCCTCTACTCGGCCTGATGCCTCTACTCGGCCTGATGCCTCTACTCGGCCTGAAGCCTCTACTCGGCCTGATGCCTCTACTCGGCCTGAAGCCTCTACTCGGCCTGAAGCCTCTACTCAGCCTGAAGCCTCTACTCAGCCGGACGCCGGCATTCAGCCTGATGCCTCTACCCAGCATGATGAACTGATCCAGCCTGATGATCCTATTAGGCCAGTTGACTCGATGCCCGCTGTTGATCCAGATGATCCGGTACCTGATCCGGTGCCCGCTGTCGTGCCAATTGACTCAGAGCCCGCTGTCGTACCTGGTGACTCGGTGCCCACTGTCTTGCCAGATGACACGGTGCCCGCTGGCGAGCCAAATGACCTGATGCCTGGTGACCCAGTGCCCGCTGTCATACCTGGTGACCCGATGCCCGCTGTCGAGCCAGACAATCCGGTAGCTGATGACCCGGTGCCCACTGTCGTGCCTGTTGACTCGGAGCCCACTGCCTTGCCAGATGACGCGGTGCCCGCTGTCAAGCCAAATGACCTGATGCCTGGTGACCCGATGCCCGCTGTCCAGTCAGACGATCCAATGTCTGACCCAGTGCCCGCGGTCATACCAGTTGACTCGGAGGCCACTGCCTTGCCAGATGACGCGGTGCCCGCTGTCGAGCCAAATGACCTGATGCCTGGTGACCCGATGCCCGCTGTCATACCTGGTGACCCGATGCCCGCTGTCGAGCCAGACAATCCGGTACCTGATGACCCGGTGCCCACTGTCGTGCCTGTTGACTCGGAGCCCACTGCCTTGCCAGATGACGCGGTGCCCGCTGTCGAGCCAAATGACCTGATGCCTGGTGACCCGATGCCCGCTGTCCAGCCAGACGATTCAATGTCTGCCCCAGTGCCCGCGGTCATGCCAGTTGACTCGGAGCCCACTGCCTTGCCAGATGACGCGGTGCCCGCTGTCGGGCCAAATGACTTGATGCCTGGTGACCCGATGCCCGCTGTCCAGCCAGACGATCCAATGTCTGACCCAGTGCCAGCAGTCATGCCAGTTGACTCGGAGCCCACTGTCGTGCCTGGTGACTCGGTGCCCGCCGCTTCGCCTGGGGGCCCGAGACCTGTCGCTCCGCCTGGGGGTCCGGCGCCCGCCGCTCCGCCTGGGGGTCCGGCGCCCGCCGCCCCGCCTGGGGGCCTGAGACTTGTCGCTCCACCTGAGGGCCCGAGACCTGTCGCTCCACCTGGGGGTCTGGCGCCCGCCGCTCCGCCTGAGGGCCCGAGACCTGTCGCTCTACCTGGGGGACCGGCGCCCGCCGCTCCGCCTGAGGGCCCGAGACCTGTCGCTCCATCTGGGGGTCCGGCGCCCGCGCGCTCCGCCTGGGGGCCCGATGCCTGTCGCCCCGCCTGGGGGCCCGATGCCTGTCGCCCCGCCTGGGGGCCCGATGCCTGTCGCCCGCCTGGGGGCCCGCCGCTCCGCCTGGGGGCCCGATGCCTGTCGCCCCGCCTGGGGGCCCGATGCCTGTTGCCCCGCCTGGGGGCCCGACGCCTGTCGCCTCGCCTGGGGGCCGATGCCTGTCGCCCCTCCTGGGGGCCCGCCGCTCCACCTGGGGGCCCGATGCCGGTCGCCCCGCCTGGGGACCCGATGCCGGTCACCCCGCCCGGGGGCCCGGTGCCTGTTGCCCCACCCGGGGCCCCGGTGCCTGCCTGCTGCTCCGCCCGGGGGCCCGCTGCCTGCTGCTCTGCCCGGGGGCCGCTGCCTGCTGCTCTGCCCGGGGGCCCGCTGCCTGCTGCTCCGCCTGGTGGCCCGCTGCCTGCTGCTTCGCCTGGTAATCCAATGTGCCTCTGCCCAGAGTCCGGCCCGATGTGCCTCTGCCCGGAGTCCTGCCCGATGTGCCTCTGCCCGGAGTCCTGCCCGATGTGCCTCTGCCCGGAGTCCTGCCCGATGTGCCTCTGCCCGGAGTCCTGCCCGATGTGCCTCTGCCCGGAGTCCTGCCCGATGTGCCTCTGCCCGGAGTCCTGCCCGATGTGCCTCTGCCCGGAGTCCAGCCCGGTGTGCCTCTGCCCGGTGTGCCTCTGCCCGATGTGCCTCTGCCCGGAGTCCAGCCCGATGTGCCTCTGCCCGGAGTCCAGCCCGATGTGCCTCTGCCCGGAGTCCAGCTCGATGTGCCTCTGCCCGAGTCCAGCCCGATGTGCCTCTGCCCGGAGTCCAGCCCGATGTGCCTCTGCCCGGTGTGCCGCTGCCCGGAGTGCCTCTGCCCGGAGTCCAGCCCGATGTGCCTCTGCCGGAGTCCAGCCCGATGTGCCTCTGCCCGGAGTCCAGCCCAATGTGCCTCTGCCCGGTGTGCCGCTGCCCGGAGTCCTGCCCGGTGTGCCAGTCTTTGATATCCCGCCAGTTACCAGACCCGGGCGGTGGAACATTTTGCCCAGCTAGGACTGTTTGGAGCGTCCTGAGGCCGCTCCTTGGGGGGGGGGTACTGTCAGGAATGGACTGGCCAGCAATAGTGGGACTCAGCTGCCTTATGAGCTGCAATACCAGGGCTGGCCAGCGGGTGCTCCCAGCAATCAGAGACTCAACCTTGCAGCCAGTCAAACACCTGGAACTAATTATACTGGTGTATTTAAGGGACATTCAGACCTGCAGACTCTGCCTTGGTGTTGTGTTTCTCTTGGGCCCTGTATCCTGTTCCTGCTCTCTGTTCCTGTCTGATTCTCTGCTGACCCTGCTCTGATCCCTGGCTTGTCTGACCATTCTCCTCTGCCTGACCCTCTGTACCACGCTGCCCGCTACCTGCTGAACCTGGCCTGTGACCCCGACCATTCTCCGCTTGCTCCCCCTGTACCTACCTGCCCGACTGATATTGACCCGGCCTGCCTGACGACGCTTGCATTGTATGTACTGTTATCTGTGGGTGGTTGGTTGGTTTGTTTGCACTGTGTTATGTTTTAGTATTGCACTGCGTTTATGTTTGTATTGTTAGTGTTAATAAATTATATTGTTTATAACATATCTGAAGCCTGCGTTTCCCTGCGTCAGTCACACACCTCTGGTCATACCCGGGAGCCCTGACAGCCTGATACCCATCATTCAACACCATTTCCATCTGAACCAGCTTTTCCAGCTCTGTCAGCCATTCATCCTGAGGATGCTCTCTAGGAATGGTATCTGCAATGCAAGCCGATCACAAAATCGTTGCTCTGTGGTTGGAAGTAATTCTCCCTAGACAACCTGAACCCCCTTCTGCTGAGACAGGGCCATCAAACTGGGCCAGAGCTTCCTGCAGTCTCCACTGAAATTCAGCTGCCATTTCCTGTCCTTCTTCATCCATAATTCCAGTGGTACTTACCTTGCCCTGGGCGATGACAACCCATGCTATGCCACTGCCTAAGGGTAGATTTACTAAAACCGGTGCAGTCAGAATCTGGTGCAGCTGTGCATAGTAGTCAATCAGCTTTTAACTTCAGTTGGTTCAATTAACCTTTGGCAATAACACCTGAAGGGGGGTTGGTTTCTATGCAGCATTGCACCAGATTTTGCACTCTTCAGTTTTAGTAAATAATTCCCATAGCCATGCCCTGTCTGGCAGGACCGGAGAGCATATATTTCTCTGCTGAACTTCAGTAATACTTACAGGTCTTATCCCTCCCTTGGCCTGTGACTGGACAATAAAGGAGAAGCAGCTTTGGGTTGAGGCTGACCATGAGTTATTTGAATTACATGACCAAACCCAAGTAATTTGTGGTTCCAGAAAATGGCAAACTAATGCAGCTCTTTGGCGCTATAGCAATTACCTAAAAAGGATGAGCTGAGGTTTAGGCTTGTCAGGAACGTGTAGCGCTCCTGCTCCATCACAGCTGCCAGCCTCATTCCAGCATCCTGGTTTTGGTTGTGATACATTCTCCATGTCTGTCTGTCCACCTGCAAGGTGATTGATGTGGCCAATCTCTGGGTGGAGATCAAACCTGATTTAAGCCAGCCAAGCCTGCAGTTTCATGTTTGTGATATTGCATTTGTAACATGTGCTCCAAACTCCCTGTTTGTCTGCCTGCTCTGCAAGTTTGGATTCCATTGTTGACGATCTCGGATTGGATATTGACTATTCTTTGAACTCTGTCTGCCTTTTGACTATGGATTTGACCTTGACTATTGTGAACCTTGCCTGCCTTGTACCTGGACTGTCATTGAACTGCTCTGCCTGTCTGCCAACTGCAAGTACCTGTTTACTGTTCTCAGTTTGCATCTGCCCAGCTTGATAGCCAGGCACTATAGCATTGTGTATAAGTCCTGGGGACAACCCAGTACCGGTAGGCCTGCTTGCCTTATGGGAAAGGGGGCTTGTATAGGTGAAGAATACAGAAGCCAGCTATATTGTCTGACCACCTGCGTTAGGGGTAAGCGTGACAGGGCTGAACTCAGTCAGCCTGAACCCACAGGAAACTGTCACATGATAGCAGGATGCAAGCCCCACCAGCTTTGGTCATGGAGCTTCCCATCCTGCACTTATATGCAATAAAGTTGCAGGGAAGCTGGTAACATCATTAAGTTAATATGGCAACATGGTCTTATAAGGTCAAAGACGTTGGACCTTAGCTCATCCCTAGCTACCAACAAATCCCTTCCTGGACTCTGAACAGAGGTCATATGGATTAGAAGGGCTAATCATAGGGTTTTCTTGTTTGCCTAGAAAAGTCAAGGTTCCCAGGAGCCTTTGTTTAGTGAGTGCTTGAGGAGACATGCAGTAGTCAGGGCAAAATCACCAACTGTTTTCAGGGAAAGCTAGGTGCTACTATTGCTGCTGCTGCTTGCTGAAAACATCTATTTATTTGGATTTGGATTGCTAAAACTGTCTATATTAAAAATGAGTCACAGATGCACTAGAGTTGATTTATTAAATGCAAATAGGCTTTTCACTTTGCAAGGGAATTTTTACATTGCAAGGGACTTAGCTTAACGTAGTGAATAAGGTGAAGCTCTGCAGATCCTACATATTCCAATCATGTGCAAGTAAAAATACATTTTTTTTGTATTTTCCTTCCATGTGCCTGGGTATTTTTTGCAAAGTGGATTTTCACCACATTCACTAAACTAAAGTAAAATTCCCTTGCAAAGTGAACACCCTATCAAAGCAAACAAGAGAGGGCGCCACCATCTAAGTGTAAGCTGTTTATTAAGGATAAAATCAAAAAAAAATATACATTGCATGATAGGTAAGATCAGCATATCATCATTGTGGAATGAAGTCATCTGTGGAGTGACTCTGTTATGCAGAGATCAGCAGGTAAGCGGCTGGGTGGATGCAGAGTTCAGCCGGGAAGCTGATTGTTGGAGGGAAAGGACCACTGTCAAGCTGCGGGATGTAACGCAAGCTGTCACACTCAGTCAAGTGGCTTCTGGATCGCTTAAGCCAGCTTGGCTAGGATTTATTCCACAAGGAGCTACTACAACGAGGGGGAGTAGCTACGCATTTCAGGCACCGACATGCCCCTTTGTCAAGCTGGAACATCCTATTTGACTTTCATAGATCAACCCCAATGACTCAATGGGAATAGATCTTTCAAGATCAAAATCTGACTGGGCCAGTTAGGAATTGGCTTACAATATTCTAGTCAAAACTGAAAATGAAGGTTTGAGGTTTATACAGGAAGCATGTCAACCAGACATTGCTGTTCTACACTAGGCCACCCCAATCCCTTTTGTCTACAATTCGGTCATCCTGGGAACACACCTGGTGGTCCTTGCTGCCTCTTACACACACCAGACCTGATGCAGAAAAAATGGCAACACTAAGAAGTTTCCCACATTCAACAAACATATTCAAACCTGCCTAGGAACTTTAAACATGCTTGGTGGTAATTAAAGGCAAGAAATGGGAAGCTACACAGCATAGACTTTAGGAAGTACATTCCTATTGACCCTCTATGGAGCTGTGTGTGCATATTTTGCAGGGGATTATACAGAACACATATTAAGATAAATCAAGAGAACTTGCTGACTTTAGCACAGTTGTTGTATCCTGAACATCATTAGTAGCTCAAGGATTACTTTCACTTGTAGCCTAGAATAGCTTTTTATATTCATTAGTATGCTTGTGAGTTTAAAAGAACTTAAAGACGTCTTCAATCTTCTGGTACAGTTTGGCAGCACAGTCACAAATTAATGCAGAGAAAACTGTTCAATAGAATGTGAATCCTATCTAGGACAAAGGGGTTACCTAAATATTGCAAATTAATATTACTTACTTATAGTTTGAGCCAGCAGTTGGCTTCTGTTCACATGTTTACCCTATTATTCTTAGCTGCCCTGAGGAAAAAAACAGTATACTCGAAGAGGTGCTGGGAACCTATGGACTTACATCTTTAGTCAGAAGGAGAAATTTCATCAATATCTCAATAGCTCTGGCAAGTTGGCTCCAACACAGCAAGCCCTCCCTCATTAGGCACCCAACAGTAAGCTATAGAAATACAGAAAGGAGTGCCAGTCCAAAATCGGATAAAGGAGCCCATGAGAATTTTAATTGTTGACAAAAAAAATTTATATAAAAACAAACAACACGTTTTGGAGGCCAGCACCACTCCACCTTCATCAAGGCTACAAGAATAAGCAAAAAAAAAAAAAGGAAAGGATCACCTTCCTCCTAGACATGACTTG